GCCCAGGGTTCCAAGACAGGAAGATAAGCCCCATAACATATGGCTGCAAAGACGAGTGGGGACTGAGTCAGTGAAAGAAACTTCTGGAGTCCCAACCAGTTCCTCTTAAAGAACCCACAAATAGACTTACTCAGACTCACTCCTTCTGAGCTCCCACACCAGGGTAGCAGCTTGAAAGGCACCATTGGCATATAGGGAGGAACTGAAGTGTCTGGCATCAAGGAAAGAGCTGGGGGACTGTTTTCTCCCAGACAGAAGGATGGGCAGAGGCCACTTTCCCTTTTCTGACCCCTCCCCTGACAGAGCCAGCAGGCTGGTGCCATCAACCTGAATAGCACTGTTTGCCCCACCCTAGTGAATCCCTGAGACTCCATCCCACCCAACTTATGGCCACCCTGGCTGCTTTTCCGTATGAATGGCTGGTCTTGGCTCATGCTGCACAACTTCCTAAATCCTCTCAAACAAGCAACAGCCAGCCTCCATGAGCCCTCAGCGCCTGTACCACTTGCTAAGTGGCCCCAGGCCCAGCCTAGAAGCAGCCAGCTTAGATTCACAGCTTGGATTCTCTTGGGAATCTCCAAGCCCGTTCAAAAGGAGCAGCCATCTCAGATTGCTTTATAGCTCAGGCAGGGTGGCCTGGGGCAAAACACAGGTGGGGGCTGACCTTGGCCTGCACCACCCAGGAAACCTCAGGGCCAGCACACCCAGTGGACAGCTACAGACCACGTAGGAGCTCCACCACCCGGCTCCTGCACAGCTGATCTTCCACGGTGGGTGGAGGTTGGTGGTCAGTGGGCAAAGCCAGTCCTTGTATCTGACTGGCCTGATAAATCAGTCCCATTGATCAGCCAACAGCAACCAAGGCTCAACTATAAGAGGAGGGTGTATTCAGCCCACAGAAAGGGCATACCTCAAGTACCCAGTTTGGGTGATAGGGGAGTCTGTGCCACTGGGACCCACTGGACACCTACTATGTTAGGTCACACTACCAAGACACGGAGTCACAGAAGCTCTAACACATAGAAACAAACGCAGAGGCTGCCAAAATGAGCAGACAAAAAAACATGGCCCAAATGAACGAATAGATCAAAACTCCAGAAAAAGAGATAAATGAAATGGAGATACGCAATCCAGCAGATGCAGAGTTCAGAACACTGGTAATAAGGATGCTCAAGGAACTTAGTGAGGACCTCAAGAGCATAAAAATGATCCAATCACAAATAAAGACATGCTAATTAAAATAAAGAACAATTTACAGGGAAACAACAGTAGAGTGGATAAAGCCAAGACTCAAATCAATGATTTGAACATAAGGAAGCAAAAAACAACCAATCAGAACAACAAGAAAAAAGAATCCAAAAAAATAAGGATAGTATAAGCAGCCTCTAGGACAACTTTAAGAGGTCCAACATTCACACCATAGGGGTGACAGAAGGAGAGGAGCAAGAGTAAGAAATTGGAAATCTATTTGAAAAAAATAATGAAAGAAAAATTTCCTAATTTGGTGAAGGAAATAGACATGCAAGTCCAGGAAACATAGAGTCCCTAACAAGATGGATGCAAAGAGGCCAACTCCAACACACATCATAATTAAAATGCTAAAGGTTAAAGATAAAGAGAGAATCTTAAAAGCAGCAAGAGAAAAGCAGTTACTTACCTGCAGGGAATTCCCATAAGACTATCCAATAGTCTAATGTAGTTCCCGTAAGCTGATTTCTCCAAAGAAACTTTGCAGACTAGAAGGGATTGGCAAGAAATATTCAAAGTCATAAAAAGCAGGGACCTACAGCCAAGATTGCTCAATCCAGCAAAGATACCATGTAGAGTCAAAGGGCAGATAAAGAGCTTCCCAGACAAAAAACTAAACCAAATCTTTATATATGAAATGTTAAAGGGACTTATTTAAGATAAAGAAGGTCAAAACTATGAACGATAAAATGGCAATACATACATATCTATCAACAACTGAATCTAAAAAACTAAGCAAGCAAGAACAGACAGAATCATGGATATAGAGAGCATTTTCATGGTTGCTAGACAGGAGGAGGTATGGGAGAATGGGTGAAAAGGTGAGGGGATTAAGAAGTACAAATAGGTAGTTGCAGTATAGGAAATGGAGTAGCCAAGGAAGCTACGCATGACCCATGGAGATGAACTGTATGGGGGCTGCCTGAGGGAGTCGGGGTGCCAGATGGAGGAGACCAAGGGGAAAAATTAGGGTAATTGTAATAGCATAATCCATAAAGCATAATTTTTTTAAAAGGAAAAAAGAAAATTGCTAAGAAAGTAGATCTTTGTTCTGGTTCATTTGTGTCAGTGGATTGAGCACTAGCCTACAAACCAAAAGTTTGCTGGTTCAATCCCCATTAAAGGACATGCCTGGGTTGTGGGCCAGGTCCCCAGTTGCAGACATGCAAGAGGCAACCAATGTTTCTCTCACACAATGATGTTTCTCCCCCCCTCTTTCTTCCTCCCTTCCCCTCTCTCTAAAAATGTATAAGTAAAACCTTTACCAAAAAAATTAAGAATTAAAGAAATGGTACGGTTAACTAAGCAATGATTTTTTTTAAGTACATTATAAGTTCTTACCACAAGAAAAAAAATTACAACTCTGTAAGGTGATGGATGTTAACTAAACTTATTGTGGTAATGATTTCTCAATATATACATTTATCAAATCATTATGTTGTATAACTTTAACTTGATATTATATGTCAATTATTGTCAATTAAACTGGGGGAAAGTTTTTTCTGAAATATGTCCATGTGTCTGTTAGGAGGAGACTGATACTTTTAAATATAATCCATGGACTAGAAGCACTGCCCTGACATGACACCCGGCACATGGTTAATTGTACAATATAACCATGTTATTTTACATATTCTTTAAAAAGTAGAATTCTGTGATTATGGTTCCACAGTTTGTAGGAACAAAAATTTATCACATCATGAATAACAATCAAAGGCTAAAAGCAATTAGTCTATTATAACTTTTTGGATTTGATTGCACAATAACAACAAAAAACAATGCGTTGTGGTTTCAGAAAGAGAGGCACATGTTAAATAGAAAAAAAATATGGTTAGTTCTGGCTGGCACAGTTTGGTTGGTTGGATCATAGGTCACAGGTTCAATTCCTGGTCAGGGCACACACCTAGGCTCAATCCCCAGTTGGGGTGCATACAAGAGGCAACCGATCAACATTTCTCTTTACATTAATGTTTCTCTCTTTCTCTCCCAGCTTCCCTTCTCTCTAAAAGCAATGGGGGAAAAAAATTTTCCAGTGAGGATTAAAAAAAAATGCTTAAATGATAACATTCCTTACGATACAGTCTAGCAGGTTTGGTATCAAGTTGTAGTGGAGAAATAATTTCCCACCATAATCACAAAGTAACTAAGTGATATATTTTTTTATTTGCTGATATGTATCCATAACGCTCATTTTAAAGCAAAGATTTTTATTTTTCTGGTGCCATCAAGTGGTAACATTATGAAGTGCTCTAGGGTTAAATGTAAATGACTTTGGACAAAAGAATCACACTGATGTGTTTTATCTACGTCAATTAAATACTAGCGATGTTTTAGCACAAAAAAAGTATGTAAAAAGAAAAGGAAAAAATAACAGAGCCCACTGTTTGCAACTTATCCCTATGTTAAACCCCCATCCAAAATAAAAGTTAAGACAAATACGGAAAATGAGTAGATTTTTAAGGCCAGAATGCTCTACTAGCAAATAAAAAACCCCAATAGGTTATGAAACTATTTGAAAAACAAGTTTGTATCAAAATGATATATATTGTATTATCAGTCAAACCAAGAGAAATGCTCCTTTCTGAAATTCCATTAACATGGCTGTAAAATAATTATTTTTAAGCCATAATCCCACTAGGACAAAGAGATTGAGAGAAAAGATAGGAGCAAGAAAACTGTAAATGAGGGGTGGTCATAGACTTGGAGAAACTCTAAAAAGCCGCCTGACATACCTGGCACTAAATCTCTCCCAAAGTGCAGGAACTGGTGGCACTAGCTAGCTGTGGACATGAAAGTGAAGGATTAAAAACAACAGATTTAGTCAAATTAGTTAAAAGGCCACTACATACACTTCCTCTTCTACTCCACACTGCACACGCTTCCTCTTCCACTCCATACAGCCAAGTATTCATCTTTACACCACGTTGGAAGCATGAAAGTTTAGATTCTAGGATGAGTACAACAGAATGCTTCTGGACTACAGGACGCAGGGCACGTTGAGGGTAGGAACAAAAACGTTTGTGACACAGGACACTGTGGTATCTGAATGACACTAACAAGTCCAAGACCACTAAACAATGATGAAAAGGGTAATTTTCTGGAAAAGAAAACCATGGGAAGAAGGTCCCATCAAACTTTGGTTTCTGTCTAGGAAGTCACGTCACTAGCTGCAGCCAGCTTCACTCTGCTTCTACAAGGAAAGGGAACAAGTAAACAAAGACTGATGCTTGAAATAGACCTAAGTTCTTTACCAACTTCAGTAACATTTAACTCCACATGCCTCATCTCAGCCCCATTCATTAGTTGAGAATTTACTGCAACTAAACAACAAAGAATAAAACAGTAGGCAAATCCCAGAACCTTTTACACTCTTAGTTAAAAGCCCACGTCACCTTGTCTATTCAGGCCACCGAGACTTAATGCTGTAAAGCATCTCTGTGAACCCTCCTGAGAGAGACGAAAGCTGATGAACACTGACCATGTCAGGAAAAAAAATTATTATTCATAATAGAGTCTTAGAGACTTGATTATTTAAATCCTATTTTGTTGATTAATTGATCAAAGTATATAGTTCAGTATACCTGATACTGCCATGTAACCAGAGGTATGTATCCACATTTAGGTCATTTAATCTTCAGTAATTTCTCATTTTCAGTGTTTTTACATAGCATTATAACATAAGACATAGTTACATGTATACACTTTTTTCCCAGGTGCCAACATAAGAAATATTAATACAGGTAAAACTGTACCTTGAACACCTTCTAGGAGTAAATCGACTCCCTTCCTATAAAAATCGGAAGCAGCTTCATAGTCATCTTCTTCTTCCTTTTTTAAAGCCAGCTTTATTAGTTCTCCTGCTTTCTCCAAATAATCTCTCTTGCCAAGCTTGGATTTTAAACTGCCAGGAAAGAGGCTACGATTTTCCCGTTCTTCTTCTGTTTTGTTCGGTTCGCTGTCAGAAGCAACAGCCCCTAGTGCTGAAGTATCCGAAGAAAGATTGAGACCGAAAGTTCTAATGGGAGAATTTTGATTGGAAGCCATTCCATCATCTAACTCAGCAAGAGAATCCACGTCAACAGTAAGAGAGACCAGGTCACTATCACTGGAGAAGCCTGGAAATATGATCACAACAGTAAACATATTAAAATGAGATTCGGCCAAAAGAAAACAAATCATGCCAACTATTCATTTTTTCATTCTATCCAAGTCAATTAGGAAGGCTGTAATTTACTGATGGAAGTTAGTGTCTAGCAAAATGTTTCAGCTCAGATCATTCATTTTTGTACCTTTGGTAACTCTGGAAGACCACTCCTTGCCTTACTTATCACACTAAAACTGGAGACAAGCCTTTGTTTAGCCTTGGCGTCAAAAACAGCCTTTACCACAAGATCTTGTAAACCATTTTTAGAAAGCTGATGTTTGTACATACAGGTGCTATGAACAATAATATCATGAGAAAGGGAAACGAGTAAGAGCTTTAGAGTAAGTAAAAAAAAAAAGTTCTTGAAACCCAGCTCTTAAAATTTGTTGTGTGACCAACAGTAAGTTACTTAATAGTATTACTTATTATTCAGGGCATTAAATGAGGGGAAAAGTGAATGCATATGAAGCATATAGACTATCACTAAGTTATATCCCTTATGTCAATTATATAATAATTATTTAATTATTAGATGATATATACTCAGAGGTGTGATTTTAGGTCACCATCCGCATCTGGAAAATGTATGTCATTTTTTTTAAAGACCTGAATTTAAAAAATTTTTTGTTTCAGCCTCTTCCACAGCTTTTGGAAAGAGTTTGGTCCGTATTCATATATTACTTTTCTGACAGAAAATCAATAAGTGCTATAGAAATTGGTAGCAATGAAAATTAGTTCTACCATTTCATATAACTGACTTCACGGTAAATGAGCATGATCTACAATAGCAGTTGTTAATCTTTTTGGTCTAAAAACCTCCCTTTACATTCTTAAAAACGATTGATGATCTCAAAGAAATTCTGTTATGTGGATTATATCTGTAAATAGTTACCAATCTGGATATTTAAAAAACAGACTTAAAAATTTTGATTAAACATTAAGCCCATTCCATGTTAACATAATTTTTATTTTTAAAAAGTGTATTTTCCAAAACAAAAAATACTTAGGAAAGTGGTACTCTTTTACATCTCTGCCAATCTTGATAACAGAAGATGGCTAGATTCTCCTATCCAGTCCTCAGTGTATTGTTAGATGTTGTTCTGGTTACAAGATTTGAATAAAATGTTACATAGAGATGTAACTGAAAACAGAGTAAATGTTTTAGTAGCCTTTTTAAATAACTGTGGATGTTGCCTTTTGATACTACACCAAAACTTAGTGAGTGGTTTTATCTTAAAGCTTAGTTGTTGTATAGAACATAAATTCTTACCAATAAAATTTCTGTTGCTGTTAAACTCAAATCTATTGGTCTGTCTCACACTGAATGGATCTTTTTATCCATCATGAGTTTGTAACAACACATATTGGTCATTTTGAAAATACTGGTTCCCAGAGTTACACAGATCTTCCAAATGATGACATATTCCATATTACAATATTGCCCCAAAAACCACATTTGTTAACCACATTTGTTACTATCACCATCAATTTCACCAGAAAATTCTTTAAATATTATAAAACTGTCAAGCTCAAAGTAAGAGAAACAAGTTCTCCAAAATTCTAATTCTGAGTTGCAAAACTGAATTTTATCAGTGGCAACAAATAGGGTCAGTTGTTTTCCCTTCAGTGTCAGCTTGCTCCGTTTACTTTTGAAAAAATATTTGCCAGACTTCTGGTTAAGATGGTAACATAGGCAGACATGCCTTGTCTCTTCAAACAACCACATCAAAATTACAACTAAAATATAGAACAACCATCACTCAGAACCATCAGAAATCAAGTTGAATGGAAGTCTGACAACACAGAATTAAAGAAATCACACCCATCCAGACTGGTAGGAGGGGCGCAGACACGAATCGGCTAGTCCCATACCCTGTGTGGTGGAAAAAATTCGTGATGGGTATCTTGGGAGTGAGGGGCCCCAGTCCCACACCAGGACCCCCAGCCCAGGGTTCCAGTGCCAGGAAAATAAGTCCCCACAAATTCTAGCTTCAAAACCAGCAGGAATTGAGCCAGTGGAAGAAATTTCTCGAGTCCAAGCAGTTCCTCTCAATCCACACATGGACTCACTTACTCAGAATCATTCCCTCTGAGCTCCAGCACCAGGGTGGCAGTGGCACACCGGGAGAGGCTGAATTGTCTGGCATCAGGATGAACAGAATCCATTGTCCCTTTTTTGAGCCCTATCCCACGCAGAGCCACAGAGCAGCCAGGCTAGTGTCATATCTGAGACTCCATCAACCTGGCTAACACTGTTTGATCTGACAAGGAGATCCCCAAAGACTCCGCCCCACCCAACTTACAGGCCCATCCAAGCTGCATTTCCATATGAATGGCTGGTCTAGGCTCACACTGTACAACTTCCTAAATCCTCTCAAACAAGCAACAGCGGGTTTCAGTGAGCCCCAGGCGCTGCACTAGCAGCAGCGAGCCTAGATTCACAGCCTGGCTTCGCCTGGGAGTCTCCAAGCCCAGCACAAGAAGCAGCCATCTCAGACTGCTTTACAGCTCAGGCAGGGAGGCCCGTGGCAAAACAGAGGTGGGGGCTGACCTTGGCCTGCACCACCCAGGAAACCCCAGGGCAAGCACACCCAGTGGACAGCTACAGACCACGCAGGAGCTCCTGCACAGCTGATTCTCCATGGAGGGCAGAGGTTGGTGGTCAGAGGTCACAGCCAATCCTTGTAGCTGACTGGCCTGGGTAAATCCCTCCCGTTGATCAGCCAACAGCAACCAAGGCTCAACTACAAGAGGAAGTTGCATTCAGCCCACATGAGGGGCACAATTCGAGCACCCAGTTGAGTTATAGAGGAGGCTGTGCCACTGGAACCTACAGCACACCCACTATATTAGGCCACACTTCCAGTACATAGAATCATAACAGCTCTACCTAATACATATAAACAAACACAGAGAGGCTGCCCAATCAAGGACACAAAGAAGCATGGCCCAAATGAAAGAACAGATCAAAACTCCAGAAAAAGAGCTAAATTAAATGGAGATAAACAATCTATCCGATACAGAAGTCAAAACACTGGTTATAAGGATGCTCAAGGAACTTATTGAGGACCTCAACAGCTTAAAAAAGACCCAGTCAGAAACAAAGGATACACTAACTGAAATAAAGAACAAACAACAGTACAGTAGATGAGGCCAAGAATCAAATCAATGATTTGAACATAAGGAAGCAAAAAACAACCAATCAGAACAAGAAGAAGAAAAAAAGAATCCAAAAAAATGAAGGTAGTATAAGCAGCCTCTGGGACAACTTCAAGAGGTCCAACATTTGCACCACAGGAGTGCTAGAAGGAGAGAAGCAAGGGTAAGAAACTGGCAATCTATTTGAAAAAATAGTGAAAGAAAACATCCCTAATTTGGTGAAGGAAATAGACATGCAAGTCCAGGAAGCACAGAGTCCTAAACAAGATGGATGCAAAGAGGCCCACTCCAAGACACATCATAATTAAAATGCTAAAGGTTAAAGATAAAAAGGGAATCTTAAAAGCAGCAAGAGAAAAGCAGTTAGTTACCTACAGGGGAGTTCCCATAAGACTAACAGCTGATTTCTCCAAAGAAACTTTGCAAGCTAAAAGGGACTAGCAAGAAATATTCAAAGTCATGAAATGCAGTGACCTACAGCCCACGAGCTCACCAGCAAAGCTATCATTTAGAATCAAAGGGCAGATAAAGGGTTTTCCCCCCACAAGAAAAAACTAAGGGAGTTCATTAACACCAAACCATTATTATATGAAATGTTAAAGGGACTTAATTTAAGAAAAAGAAGATGATCAAACCCTGGCTGGTGTTGCTCAGTGGAGTGAGCACCGGCCTGAGAACTCAAGGGTCACTGGTTCAATTCCAGTCAGGGCACATGCCTGGGTTGCAGCCGAGTCTCCAGGTGGGAGCATGGAAGAGGCAACCACCTATGTTTCTCTCACTCTCTTTCTCCCTCTCTCCCCCTCTATCTGAAAATAAATAAGTAAAAATATTTAAATATATACATATATAAAAAACAACTATGAACAATAAAATGGCAAACATATATAGCTGTCAACAATTGAATCTAAAAAACTAAGCAAACACGAAGAACAGAGAGAGATTCATGGATGGAGACAGTTTTGATGGTTTCCAGATGGGAGATGGGTGTAGGGGAACAGGTGAAGAGGTGAGGGGATTAGTCACAGAATAGCCATAGGGATACAAAGTACAGTATAGGACATGGGGTAGCCAAAGAGCTTACCCACATGTCCCATAGGCATGAACAACAGTGTGGGGAGTGCCTGAGGGAGTGGGGCGTGCTGGGTGAAAGGGGGCAAAGAGGAACAAAATCGGGACAACTGTAATAGCATAATCAATGAAATATAATTTTAAAAGAATAAAAATTTTAAAAATATTTTAAAAAGAAGAATTTGCCAAATTCCCAAGTCTGCATAATGATAACTTGTCTGTGAATCAACCCTTTAAACAAAAATGGTGTTACAGCAACAAAGCAGCTGGTTCATGGCACAAACGACTGCACAAGCGCTTTTCCTCTGGACAACCAGACAGCCATGGTAGCTCAGTGCGCGGAAGTGTTCTGTGTCTACTTCCATTGCGTCTCACAGAATATCAAAAAGCATGTAGCCAAAGAGGGAGATGTAATACAATTACCCTTTACTGCTTTATCAAGGACACTCTTAGCCCTGGCACTACTGCAAGTACATGCCATGACCACGGTTACAGGCTGGGGTCACTATCTTGACTCACGCCCCAGCACAGCAGCAGTTTTACCACCATTGTTTTTGCATCATCGGTGACGATATCAATCAACACAGCAAAAAACGTAAGTCATTTCCTAGACGATTAACAAAATATTTCTGCCTTGGGACTCCCTGAAAAGATCTCGAGAATACCTAGGGGTCTAAAGACCACATTTTGAGAGCCACAGATCTATAAAATCAAGAAAGACTGGCAACTGGGTTATGTAAAAGT